CTCCAGCAAGGAACCGCCAGCGCTGCAAAGGCAGAAATTCACCAGGTGGAAGGGAATGGGTGAGGAAGCTTCTGGCCAGCCCTGGGAGTGGGTCTCCAGGCCAGTGGGACAGCAGCTCCTGTTCTCCTTTCCAGTGCTTGCTCTGCACTCACCTGTCATTACTTTTTCTCCTCTCACCTGCAAAGTCAGTCATTTTCCCCCCACTGCTTCTGTGCATTTAAGAACAACAGTGAATCCTCACGAGGGAAATACACCTGAGCAGCTCCACGGCTGCCACCAGCTCTTCCCCAACGTGTCCCGAGGTTCCCCTCCTCTGGACACCAGGCTGCCCCCGCTACCACCCCAGGGACAGTGGGGCTGAGCTCCAGCCAGTAGCACTGGGAATGCTCCCACACCTGGACCAGACGCTCCCGCTGCCTTTGCTGCTTCCCCACCCCACCATGAACTGAGTGAAGCCTGAAAAATGGTGAAAAACGAGTTGAGATGGAAAAGGTCACTGCTCGGGTCGGTTCCTGTTAGTGCACCGTGCAACCTCCTCCTCCACACAGGACCCACAGTCGAGCAAGGATGGGTGCTGAGCCCCGAGACCGGCCACCATCCCAGTGGCAAACTGAACATCGTGCTGATTAAACCACAGAATTCATTAATTAATGTCTAAATGCTTTGAGATTCTTGGATAAAAGGGGCTAATTAATTCTGGCCTGGCACTCCTGCTTTTCTCCCTGATCTCAGCACATTTCTCTCCCAGTGCCCTAATTATAATTATTATTATTAGAAGCTTCTGAAGAAGCAGCAAAGCCTCTGATGTATAATTGGCACACAGACCATCAGCCATCCAGTTCTTCTCCTCTCCCTCTTTCACAACAAACATGCTGCAAGGGGGGAATGGGAAATCCCTGCAAAGAGGGATGACTGGTGTGCAGAAAACTAGAGAGGAGAGAGAAATTGTGATAGAAAATAAGATTAGGACAGGACCTTCAAACCAAAATCAACAGAGAGTTTTGTGGCGGATTCACTCCTTTGGCTGCAGCCAAACACAGTCACTCACTCTCCCTCTGCCCAGGGAGCAGGGGAGAGAACTGGAAGGGTAAGGGCAAGGAGACTCGTGGGTTGAGATAAAAACAATTTACTAATTGGAGTAAAATATTAATGACAGTAATAACAGAATATGCAAATAAGTGATGCACAGTGCAATTGCCCAGCCTGTCCCAGCCAGCGATCCTGGAGCAGAGACAGTCCCCAAACCAGACAGTCCCCAAACCCAAACCACAATCCCAGGAGAGCCAGAGCCCAAGTGATCCCCGAGAGAATCCCCAGCTTTCCGCTCAGCCCTGGGCAATGTCCTGCCCGTGACAGGATGGGAGATGGAATATCTCATTGGCAGAGACAAATGGCAATTGGGGTTTGCTAATTACTGCGCTTCCCCCTCCCAGTCCTTTGCATTTGCAAACTGGCAAAACGCGATGACCTTGGAGTTCCAGCAGCAACTGAAAACATCAGCACCTGATCAACGTTCTTCTCATAATGAATCCCACACTGAAACCAAAACCCAGCTACTCTAGGTACTGAGAAGAAAATTAACTCCATCCTAGTGACACCAGGACATGTTTTTATGGTGAGAAAGAGCAGATAGACCCTAACCCCAGCTGTTGTGAAGTCAGTCTCAATACAGTGGTGTTGGAGCTTTGCAGTGCTAAGCCCAGGATAAGCAGCCCCACAGAGACAGACCCGGGTGTCACAGGCAGAGCTTCCCCCTCCTCCCTGTCCCTCTGCAACACCCCAGTGATGCTCTGACTGCTGGGGGTGGCAGAAGCGCTCTGAGGTATCTAAAGACAGAAAATGTAATACTATTCAAATTTAAATGCTTTCCATGAGTAACTTCCAACCAAGGGCTGTTTGACCATGGAGCTGCACCCACTTCTGGGACTGGCATCAGTTTCAGCCTCTGCCTGTCCCAGGAATCACCCCCAAAATTAATCCCTCCACCAAAGGATCCAGTTGCTGCACTGGAAGGAAATTCTCACCCCTTGCTCCCGAGCCCACCAGGGAAATGCAGATGGACCATTAGCAAACATGTGAAATGTGCCAGGAGAGAGGGATGAACACTCAGCAATCTTTTACTGCTCAATGCCAGTGTCTTGAAATTGAAATATTCTAAAGGAGTGTGGTGATTTTGATGGCATTTGCACTGGGAAAGTGCTCAGCCCCATCACTTCAACACCTCCTTTCATTCTGGCACCCATATTACAACAATCATTCTCATATCACACTACACAGTTAATTTTCTGTTATGATGTTTCAGACTCATAAAAATGCGATGTTGTGGTATTTCAGAATGAATGTTACACATCACTATTCTAAAAGAAATTTCAAAAATTTGTTGTTTTTTTTTCCCCTGCTGAACTTGGAATGAAAGCACACGTTGCTGTGTGAGAAGATGCCATGGGATGGAGACTGCTTTCTCACACACCTCTGACCTTACAGGCAGAAGAGCTCACTCTTCTCAGAATTATATTCCTTTTATAATCTTCTACAGTTTTCACAGCCCTTTTTCCTGAGGTTTGGGGAATTCGTTGAGTTTGGGTTTTTTTGGGAGAGTGGGGTTTTGGGGGTTTCATTTTTTTTCAGGAGAAGAGGGATGGTTGAACCTGTCTTACAAAATAAAGAACAGCAGGTTTGTCCCTACAGATACGGCAAGAGCGATAAATTGGTCACCAAAGGCAGGAGGGAGTGTTCCTGCTCAGAAGACACCTCACCAGCAGCATGAGGGTCCAGCTTCCAGCACTGCCCGGACACGGCCCTGGAGGAGGGAGGCAACTGTGGGGAATTTGCCCCCTGAGACCCTGCAGCCCCCCCAACCCCCTCAGCACAGCTGCTTTGGGGGCACCGCAGCAGCCCCGGCAGCAGGAGACACGGCTGGGCACGGACCGTGCCCGCAGGCAGGGCACAGGGGTCAGGGACCATGTGCTTTTGGAGGCAGATGGAGATATTTTCAGTCCCCAGACAGTCGTTACCTTTATGTGTGTGGGCTGGACCAACCGTGAGGTCTGGGATCATCCTAACTTGAGCCATTTTCCCATCCTGCTGTTCTCAATCCACTCTTCTCCATTTACATTGTCCTTTTGCCTTTTATTCTTCTTACTGCTTCTTCTACTTCAGGTTTTTTTTGGTTGGTTTTGGGTTTTTATTTCTATTTCACATGCCTTTTCTTCATCCTTGTCCCCACAACCTTGACCTCTCATCTGCTCTTGGTTTCTGCTGTCTCTTCCACACTTCATCTCTTCTGCTGGGGCTAATTGCAGCAGCTGCTCCCTATTTAAGCAGTAATTAGCAACACTGCCCAGGTAGCCAGGACTGTCCAGGTGGGAATGGGGCAGCCCCCACCCTGAGCCAGCCATCCCCTGGCCAGCCCCCCATCACCTCCATCCCATGGGGTCCCACCACTGGAGTGCTTGAGGGACCGGTGCCCTCACCACCATGCTCACCTTTGTTTCCAACCTTCTGAAGCAAAGATTCTCCTTTCAACACCAAAAAAATGAAGTGTTGAGGCTTTAAAAAATATCACACGTTATTCATATGGTAAATAAAAAATTGATTGCCTCCAGGTCTGCAGAGAAGGTAGCGCTGGTAAGGTGACAATGTCATTTAGATCACTCACTCATGCATGAGCAACGCCTCAAACAGGTTTTGCATCCATGCATGAATTAAAGGTGTTGTGATTGATGAGAGACCAAAGTCTAATTGGTGTTTTAATAAATACATTCTGACTTGGTAATCGAGCTAGATTTATCAGCAGAAAATGCCCCTGTCTCAACAAAATTACCAAGGTAAAGCTCAGGAACAGTGACAAATGCCACGCGGGTAATTGGCTCTGGGATCAGCGCTGGCAGCAGGACGGACATGCGGTAGATTTATTTGCATTTAGGATCAAGTATCTTCAGTAAAATTTCATCAAGCAAACAAAACCAGGGAAGGGCTTGACAGTAATGTTATTGGTTTGAACTCTCACAAATGTTCCAGGACAGCAGTGACGGGGGAGGAGGGGAATCAGCGGAGGCAGCGGCTGCTGCCAGGCACACGCAGTCAGCAAATGCCATTTTCTACCCTTGTGGGTGCAGCTGCTGTCACCTGGGTGCTGCTGTGGCCAGGACATGAGCCGCTCTCTGCAGATACTTGGTTCCTTCCGAGTCCATTAAACTAATTTAAATTTTCTATTTTCAATTGTTTTCCATTTGTCAGAGTTTGCCAATGCAGTGTGAAAAGCAGAATTGTTCACTCACCATCTCTGTCTGGGCAGGGCTGCGGCTCATGCAGGAGAATTCCAGCCAGTCCCTGGCCAGCACTTACACCTGGATCAGGAGCCTCCCAGTACTTTGTCATTTTATCAGCACTCCTGCGATCTTTCCTAAAACACTCAGTTCTGCAAATGAACTTCTGTAAAAGTATCAAATTTGTTTTGAAAATAAAAATAAGTTCCCCAAATGGTGGAGAAAATATGAAACCTGTTGTTAAAATACCAGAAGGCATATTAAATGAGCCAAAATATTTATATAGGGATCTTTCTCAAAGTAACATGTGATGAAGTTAAAATTCTGACTGGGAAGGGAAGCACAAAATGTGAGCAGCAGTATGGTAAGAAACAAAGTGCTTGGAGAAATTGGTCTACCATGGTCATTGACGTTATCAGATCATCCGTGAATGCTGTGATGGACCCCAGGTGGTACAGACCCCCCCTTGCACTTCCTAACAAAATCACCAGAGGAAAACCGCTTCTGTGCTCAGTTTATTCTTTTGGGCTTCACTTTGCTGTGCAACAAATATTTTTTACTCTACCTTTACCAGGGCTGGGAGTGACAGAACAAGGGGCAATGGTTATAAACCAGACAAGAGGAGATGGAGATAAGATGTGAGGAAGAAATTCTTTGGTGTGAGGGTGGTGAGACAGTGTCCCAGGTTGCCCAGAGAAGCTGTGGCTGCTCCTCCCTGGAAGTGTTCTCGGCCAGGTTGGATGAGGCTTTGAGCAACCTGGTCTAGTGGAAGGGAATCAATCCTTTTTAAAAACCTCTTCTCAGCCTAACCACAGCTGTCTGCTTCACCAGCCCCTTCCCAGGCAGTGCTGCAGCAATCGTTCAGGCGTGCACAACCCACATTTATCTGCCTTTCTGCCTTTTAGTTCCCATCCGCTAAGTAAAATCTTTGCCCAGACTGAAACAAGAGCAAAGCTGAGCAATGCTCTTCCAGTTCTCACCTGTATTTTTCATTGCTGGTTTAGCAAGCATTTAGCCTGAAGAAGAACAGTAAAGTGAACAGAAGAGCTCTGACTGTTCGCTGTTTCCAATGTAGGAAGCAGTAATTCACGGAGTAATTCAGTGCTTCCTTGTCTTGTACTCCCCAAACACTGCGGTTAGAAACGATACTTGGCCATCAGGACTGTGGCATTTAAGTCTGGCTTCCTCTGAGAAGATTACATTGATATGAAAAACTGACACAGAAGTCATCTTCTGCCAATAATCGTTTGCTCTTCTGTCCCTCTGTCAAACATGTCTAGATCCTTTAAGTTTGGTGTACAGAAAATTAATAGCTGCCACTACAAGCATCTTTCTTCTTCAAGTCCAGTCTTGCCCCTCAAATTTAAGACTTTTCTGTATATTTTTGATTTATTACTGCTGCATTAGTATCTTACCTTAATACAATCTTTCCTTTTACCTTCTGTTACTTCAAATTTACACTCAAGAACTTGAAAGTGAAGTTTGAGTGAATTAAGCCAGCCTGGGTTAAAGAGCGAGAGCTTTCCCTGACTCCTCTGAACAATCCCCTGGCGTTAACCACGGTGTGAGCTGAGACCTGACTGCTGTGCTGTCAGCCAAAGCCGTGACACCCTCTGCTAGGTCATTAACTTGCATGTTAACCAGAACAGCAACCAGGGAAGTAACACAGGCAGATCGTGGATTGAACCCCCATGGTTGTTTTGTACAGACATATTCCTGATGTTTAGTAAGAGACAAAATCCAATCATCCATTAATTAAAACACAGGTAAAACCAAATTAGTCTGAATAATCAGAAAGCACATCCCCTCCCAGTGCCCTGATTTTAGAATTCCCCACATGAGCATCACTCACTTCTTGGCAGCTAAAGCAAAGACATTCAGAATGAGATGAGTGTCAAAGAAGGATTGACGCCGAAATGCGAAGCCAAGACAGTGTCCCCACCCCTGGCACCACACCAGAGCAGGAGCCTACCCCACCGCTTTGGGTCTGCGACTGCACACAGAACTGATTTGCTGTGAAAGACCTATATATATATATATATATGTATGTATGTATGTATAGTTGCGTACGCATATGTAAAAAACACAGCTGACACTCAAACTTGAGCCCTGTTTTGGACACCTGCTTTAATCAGCAAAGCCAAAGCGTGTATTACTCCTGCTTTTTGAAGATACACATTATAAATCGCTGACAGATGGTTATGGTAATAAGGGAGCCACAATTTTTGAATTTTTGAAAATTAGAACTCATAAACTCAAAAATTCTCTGGAGATATGAAGATATCATGTCAGCCTATGTTGTTCCAATTAATTGCAATCGATTGCTAAGTGGGAGCTATTTTTAGACTTGTCATTACTCTGAACATAATGTAGAATAATTTGTGTGATCCCCTTTACTCCCTCCACAAATGACATCGGTGCAAAGAAATCTCAGGAAACAGAACAAAAAAAGAGTAGCAGGATCCTGATTCCTGATTTCCTCCTGCCTCTTTGGCAGGAACAATGAAATTAGGTGCTGCAAACCTAAAAAATTAAACCTTGCAAACTTTCCAAAATAGCAGCTCTGATATTACTGAGTAAATACATTTGCTCCTTGGCTTTCCAGACAGCACAAATATCTCATTTGTTGAAACTAATGTCTTCAAAGAACATTGCACCTCCAGTCCAAGCAATAACAGTGAAACAGTGTCACGGGCAGGAGGCAAAGTGCAGCCCATTCTTTATGGGATAGTATGGGAATGGGTTGATCAAAGATGTGTCACAGACTCTGGAGAGGAACTGGAAAATTTGGGTTCAGAAGCAGAAAAAAGAAAAGCTTAAGATACATCTCACTGGTTTGGTGGGCAACCCAGCGGTTTGGGTTGTGTCTTCCACTGGACCAGCTTCACAACACAGGGCACCAAATCCTGACAGAGTTATTTTGACATAAAAATCAAATGACCTCAATAACAGCACAGCATTCAGCAACAGGCTGGGTGCTTACTGCAAAAGCTGGTGGAGGCAAATCCAACGGGGTGTAACTCTCGGAGGCAAGAGGCATTTATGAGTAAGCCCAGCACAAGTCTGTCGTTCAACATCTGCACTCAGACACGCACCAGATTGACAAGCTATTTCATGATGTCGAGTAGAAAAATCCTCAGGTAAAGAGATAACTAATTCTTAAATGAGGAGTTGCTGCTAACAGTGCTGGATTCAACCAACCAACCCCTCAGATATTTTTTTTTATCAACCTACAGTTCTGCTGTCTTTTCTTTGCCTTCTATTACACTTGGAAGTCACTTTCTTCTTCCCTGCTTAAAGCCATTAGTTATCTCCTGATTGCCCTGATATGGTTTTCTTCTTATCCTGGACTTGATCTAAACAATCTAACGTCCTTCACTTATTGTTTAGTATCATGCAAAGTGGCCGTGAGGACACCAGGCGAGGACACCAAGCTGCACAGCCAGGAGCTGCCCGTGACTGTGGGACCTCCAGCCCAAAGAGGCTGCATGATGGGTGGTTTTCTCCAGGTGACACAAGGCACGGTTCCTCCATCGTGAGGATGAGTCACCAAATGGAGCTGCAATTGACTTTGGAAATGTGCTGCTATGGCGAAGAGCAGGAGTTATTTGTTAGTGCCCAGCGTCAGGGTGAAATTCTGCTGTGGTCCCATTAATAACATCAGCACCTTATCAACGTTCTGCTCATAACAAATCCTACACTGAAACTAAAACACAGTTGTTCTGGCTACTGAGAAGAAAATTAACTACCCTAGCTAAACCAGGACAGCAGTAAACAGGCAGGGAACACACCGCAGACACCAGTTACCAGGTTACTAGTTACCAGGTTATTAGTTACCAGGAGTGAATGCCGATGGAAGCGTGGTTGGCTGCTGTACCCAGGCAGTGGTGTCTGTCCTCTAAGTGGTGAACTGGACTTTAAGAAATGAATGGTTTGGTTTATCAGCTTTAGCACCTAGACCAAAACACTTTTGCATCAAATAAATGCATGCAGTGGGAGACTCTCCAGATACTGCTTTAGAAATCCCAGCAGTTTATTCCAAATGTTTTTAGCACCAGCTTCAAGACCAATGCAGTTACCCATGCCTGGGCAATCCTAAGTGCTCCCAGATCACAAGCTTTTCTCTTCCATGAAGCAGAGGGTCTCGAGGGGGACAAGGGGGGTGCAGAGCCACGGCGGCAGCCTGGCAGGGACAGCAAACCCTGCAGCTGGGCTCGCTGACGGGCACGGCTCTATGTAGGTCACTCCAGCTCCCCAGCA